ACAAGCCCTTGCAAAGAACCTCCTACCCCACGGAAAGGTCCTAATAGAAGTCAGAATTTTCCTGGCTTTTTTTTTTCTTCCTTACCTGAACAATTCCTAAAATACAAAATTGAAACTTTAAAAGAATGAAATCCAACAATAAAAACAACACTTTCATCAACTGAAAATTAATTCTTCTAGCTCGCATTTTTCCCTCAAAAACATGCATGCTCCCTACTTAAAAAGAGCCTTGAGAAACCACAGAGGGGGAAAAAATGCAAAATCTATTGCATGATTCACTTGGCCATTCACAGAAGTATATTTCATTTGAAATATTCATTAAAGAAACTACTCAAATATATCATCTTTGTTGGTTAGTGTGGCCCAGCACAGCATACTTTAAACACGTCCCATATCAGTTTTCGTTTCTGAAAAATGGGGACAAAACTAGTATCTTCCTCTATGGCTAGGATTTTGAGATTGTTTAAATTGTGAAACTCTTCTGTGCAAACTGGTTTCAAACATTTCCTCAATGATCCAAAATTACAATCATGAGGTTTTGCAGAAAATGTCCTCTACAACCCAGAGATACATTTCCAATGTCATGATAATCATATGATAAAATTACTGCACTCTTCCCTTTGCCTACCAAAAAAGAAAAAAAAAAGTGTAAAACTACTCTAAATGGACTTCAATGCCTTGTAACCACAATTACTACTCAGGGTGTTGACAAAACAAGAAAAGCACAGATTAAACAATTTTCTCTCAAAGGCACCTACAGACATCCAGATAACATAATGTAAAAACTCTTAGAATATGTGACTTCTTACCATCTTTCAATTACTGTTAATAATACAGATTCTTCCTAAGAGAACACAACAGAATGCGGTTAAATTTGGAGTGAGAAGTGGTCTCTGAAGAAATCTCTCTGGTTAAAAGAAAATACCCATGAATTAATATACAACCAAACATATTGAACACTGATGCAAAATATGCCTTGATAACAAAGTTGGTAACTTAAATTTTATGAAATATTCAGTCACAATGGAATATGAGAGATGTAAAAATAAATTTAACACAGTATTATAGTTGGATTTACATTTCTAACTAGAAATGGACATATATATCATAAAAGAAATGTAATTTGTAATTTAGGTGAATAATGGGTATCAGTTGTAGACATTAAAACTGCAATGGGTCTTTTTTAAAGAACCACTATTCTCTTGTTGAAGAGAACTTCAGCTTCATCTCATTCCTGGTTTCTAAAAATAGAAATCGCATGTTTTTACTAAAAATTTCAGAACTAAAAAAGGTAAGAAACTAAGCAGGATCATATGATAGTAAAGTGTATTTGCCCTTGAACTGAATATCCTAAATATTTCTTCTTTGTGGGTTGTTTTTCTGGTACTCTGATGTTTATCATTTCTTACTTATGTAAAATGTGTTTCACTGACTGATAATTAACACTGCCAATCCAAGAAATGAGTAAGTGGTGGGAGAAAATGCCCCGGTGGGCTTCTTGCACTGGATGGAGGATAGATTAGAGACTTCTAAGTCCCACCCAATTACATGGTTCTCTGAATGGTACTTCTTACCCCTTCCTTTGATAGTCCCTTATAGAAATTCCTAATGTAATCTGCTGCTCTACTTCCTTGGTTTTCTTTAGCCTTGGTAAGCAGAAATGTCCCTAGTAGAGAACACTTCGGTAGCTGCAGTAGCGTATCATTGTCTTACACCTGGCCACAAGCACCTACCTGCCTAAACCAATACCGGAAACCAGACAGCATGTGGATTCTGAGAACATCCATTCTCTGAAGAGCCAGATAAGGAAGTCAAATTTAAAAATGGGCATTTTCAACCCTTCTAGTCTTGATATATAATATATATATTACATATATAATATAATAATATTGATATAGTAAGCAAAATGTATATTTTGAGGAAAATAAGTATTATTTTGTAAGTCAGAAAAAGCAAAATGACTTACTGACAAATTATCATGTGCTGACCAGCCAGCTGAAATACAATCATTGGAACCCAGACATTTGGCAGTTACCCTGCAGATAGAATTACTGTCATCACACACAACTTGTCTTCTCATGTATTGATTTGTGTGGACCATATCTCAATTCAATCAATACGAACACGTTAGGAGAAAGTCTTTTAAAAATTCTTTCTGATTGGATTCTACCTCACAGTAGAAAAACAATTCTTCTGAGATTGGATGTACATTGTATAATTATTCCTAAGTGGTTTTTTAATGTCATTGGATTAAAAAAGAAATTCCAGAATGTCTGAGTGCTAAAACACCCCAAGTAAATTAAGAACTTATTTACTTAGCTCTCAAGCTAGTGAAAGTCAAACTCATTAATCTTAGTAATAAATACCACCAAGAAAAATTGCCACTAGGAAAAAAGATACAAAATGTTGGCACAAATAACTGAAAATTGCTTTAAACATGTTCTGGCGTGCTGTTACCTTTTGCAGTTAGAGAAATAGCATATATTTTGCATTTTTAAATACTGTTTACTTATTAGCTATTTTGGACACCACTTTAAAATTTAGTTAAAAGAATAGCATGTAGGGCACCTGGGTGGCTCAGTCGTTTGAGGATCTAACTTTGGCTCAGGTCATGATCTCACGGTTCATGGGTTCAGACCCCGCGATGGGCTCTGTGTTGACAGCTCAGAGCCTGAAGACTGCTTCGGATTCTGTGTCCCCCCCACCCCCACTCTCTCTCTGCCCCTCCTCCATCTGAGCTCTGTCTCTCTCTCTCTCAAAAAATAAACATTAAAATTTCAAAAAAAAAATTTTAAACAATAGCATGTAAACTTGTGAAATCACTGTTGTATACCTGAAACATTGTGTGTCAACTACACTTCAATATAAATGAATGAATGAATGAATAAATGAATAAATAAATAAATACTAAAGGTGTAACAGCACTCGGATAAAATTAGCAACTGCCTATGGGAGAGAATATTACTGTAACTTTAACTCCTATGTATTCCATACAAATGATCTGCAAACACTTATAAGGAGAGATTAATTTTGTAGTTATGTTTCTGGGAATGATGGAAGGTGAGGTAAATGAGGATATTTTCCCAGTGTTTGTAACACTCAGGACTATTATGTGAGAAAAAAAGGGGAGGAAAGAAATAATGGAAAACATATTATCATGATTGTTACTGTGAACATATGAACAATTTCAATCTAAAGTAAACCTATTTTGGGGGTGCCTGGGTGGCTCAGTTGGTTAAACGTCCAACTTCGGCTCAGGTCGTGATCTCACAGTTTGTGAGTTCGAGCCCCGTGTCAGGCTCTGTGCTGACAGCTCAGAGCCTGGAGCCTGCTTCAGATTCTGTCTCCCTCTCTCTCTGCCCCTCCCCTGCTCACACTCTGTCTCTCTCTCTCTCTCAAAAATAAACATTAAAAAATTTTTAAAAATAATAAGGTAAACCTATTTTTGTTGTTTAATGTATATTGATCAAGCTGTATCCCTCCCATGAGATATTTTTCATTTTCAAAGAATAACATATTTGATTTTTATATCAGCTCACCTTAATATTTAAGTATAATCCCTTTATAAACTAGACTGGACAGGTATCATTTACCTTTTTTCTCCCTATAACTAGTAACTCTTCCCACATTCTCTAATTCCAAGTTCATGGCTCCATGTCCTGCTTTGTTTGCATGAAGACCAGCTTACAGAGCACATGTGAACAAACAAACTCTCTGCCAGATTCTCACTAGGCTATCAATGCACAACTAAAATGGACAGTCACGTTATGCTAGAAAGTGAAGAATGGAATAATTCTTATGAGCAGTTGCTTTACATATGAGCAACGTTTTCTAAAAGGAAAATTATACTCCATTCAATTGATCCTTCCTTACTCTTATTTTTTTCTGATATCTAGATATTTCTAGGTACTCTTCCCGCTCTGTCTCTATACAAAGGATTCAGAGTAGATTAGAAACTAGGAGGCTTTCCCCTACCAATACCAAGGCAAGCAATTTACCTCCTATCAGTTCTTTCTGTCCTGTGACGCTCTGTACTATGTCTCCCAGTCCTCTTTGTTTTGGTGAGCTGTGACCTTCTGGTTGGCCTTTCTGTCAACCTCTGGCCTATTTACATCAAGGGATCAAAGTGAGTCCTCTCCAAACAGGAAGAAGTATAAACACCTACCTGAACTCTGGTCATTCTTCTTACCATTATTCAAACTAATAATGAAATCCTAGTTTTTCTCTCCATAGCACAGTGGTTTGACTATACTCCTGAATCTAACAAACTATGAGTAACACTTTTTTAAATAGAAAGATCTTATAATTTTGCCAAATTACTCAATATCCATTAACCTCAGCTCTCTCATCTGTTAGAAGAAAATGATAATGTTACCCTAGCTCTCATGTTTCTAAGAAAATAAAATTAAACTGTGGGTAAACAATTTCCACAGTTCATGCAGACCATAGCCAATAAAAGCTATCTCTTTATAAAGTAAGAGGAAGAGGAGAAATAAGAACAATAGTAAAGACTGCCTTCTGATTCACATGGCATCCCTTCTGTTGTTGTCAAGGCACAACTTCATAACGTATGTGGAACCATCATGACTCCTAAATACAAAGTACAGAAGACTCCTAAACACAAAGTACTCCCAATATAAGTTATGGGGTGATTGTGCTGTGGCCACTTGGTTAAGCTGGGAACTATGCTTCACAGAATTTCCTTCTCTGAATTGCCCAGGTGAGAGTCAACCAAAAGTTGAAATTCTGCAAGATTTAGAAAGCAGAAGTGAAGCATCTATCCAACTTCCTGACAGTCTTTTTGCAGACAAACATGGTTGCATAGTCATTATTTGGTATTTAGCATAGAAGACAGTTAAAGAGTTTAATGCTATCTGGCATAAAAATTATGCTAGTACTAGAAATATAAACATGGGTGTTAAGAATGATGTGTTAAAGGGTACCTGGCTGGTTCAGTGGGAAGAGCATGCGACTCTTCATCTTGGGATCAGAAGTTCAAGTCCCATGTTGGGTGCAGAGATTACATACATACATACATACATACATACATACATACATACATACATAAAATAAACAAAGTAACTAAGAAAAAAAAAAAAGAATGATGAGAATGGTGTGCTAAACTACCTCTCAGTAAGAACCTAAAAACTTTTTTATTAAAATGAATGATGTGACAATTTAAAATGCTGTTCTGCCCTTCTCACATCCCAGCTCTGTGATCCACTTACTAAGTCTTTTTACTAAATTTTTTTACTAAGTCCTTTTACTAAGTCTTTTTTTGGGGGGAATGTGCTTCAAATTTGAAGATTCCTAAATGTTTAACTTTTGGATAAATTAGATCACTGTATTGGCAAATTAGTAAAAACCTACAGCGTCAGAACTCAAATAAAGATACAAGTTATTTGGTAGTAAGCAAATTATCCCAGAGTATCTTCTGAAGTCTCTAATCAGACAATAACATACTTAAGGACTCCCAGGGTTTGTGTTAATTCAAACAAAATATAAAAACAAAAATCCTCCATTGACCTAATCACCTTCCTAACTCCTGCCTTGCTTACATAACAAATCTTATCTACACTTTATCTACACTTCCTCTCCCCTGTATACTGGTTAAAGTTTTTCAGTTGTGTTCCTACCACATACTGAAATACATTTCTCTAGTTCACTGGTTCTCAAACCCCAGTCTGCAAAATAATCTCCCAGATATTTTTTTTAGTCAAGATCCTTAAGCCATATACCCCAGAGATTCTAATTTAATAGTCCCAATTTGGAAGGCAGGGGTGTGAATATTTATCAGCATTCCTAAACTATTCTTAACCACCCACATCAGAATCATGTCTTGAAGAGCTAACAACCTTATCTGTTGGAGACTCTTCAGCTGTTATTCACATTTGACCTTTTTGCAATATTTGATACATTTATGATATTTCCTTGAAATTTCATCTTCCCAGATGCTCAAGGCCCAGGTCCTAGAAAATTGCTGGCTCTCCCACAAATAATTTATTAGTGAGTTCATAAAAATGAGCTATAGACAGTAGCATCCGCCCTAAGTATTTGTTCACTATTTGATATAAAGCTTCAAGTGGCCTGAGGCCTCCCAAATCAATGTCTCTCATGGGATTCTCTTTCCAATTTCTCATAGCCTTAGTCTGCTGTTAAATATACATAATGACAAGCATTTCCCGAATGTTTACGATGGGTGCTAAGCACATACATTATATCCTGTAACAATCCTATGTGTCATGCTTTCCCTCAACACAAATTTTTGTTGTTTATGGTTCCCCCCACCCAAGCTACACGCACTGCTTGAGAGCCCTAGGTCACAGTCTACTCACCCCATCAAGGTTGCTTTCTCTGGGTATTTTTCCTGATGGCCTTACTGACACTCCTTTCCCTGTGCTCCATGTCATCTAACACGCTGTAAATAATTCATTTGCCTAATTGTCACCACCACCTCTAACCACTGGGTTTCTTGAAGGGTAAAGACTAAATCTATTAGCCCAGGGCCTGCTGTGGAGCCTAGTTGAATGATTTTCCTTAACTAATTAAGGCTAGTTATCATGTTTTATTTATTTAACTCTTCAACCCTTTTAGCAGGATATTATACAATATTTCACATAATGTGGTCCTTGGACCACTTATACTCAAATCTCCCTAGATGATGGTTAAAAAGATAGTTTCCTGGGACACCTGGGTGGCTCAGTTGGTTAAGCCTCCAACTCTTGGTTTAAGCTCAGGCCATGATCTCACTGTTCATGAGTTTGAACCCCACATCAGGCTTTTATGCTGACAGTATGGAGCCTGCTTGGGATTATCTCTCTCCCTCTCTCTCTGCCCGCCCCCCCCCCCCCCTCTTCGGGCTCTCTGTCTCTCTCAAAATAAATAAAAAAAAATTTACCAAAAAAAAAAAAAAAAGTTTCCTATGCTCCCTACTTACTATAATAAGATTTCCAAGGTTGAGTCCAGGAATATTCATCTTGATAGGTACCTCAGGTCATTCTCATAAATAGTAAAAATTTTAAAATATTGCTTCAGGAGCTCCTGAGTTTGTGAGTTCGATCCTCAGATTGGGCTATCTGCTGGCAGCATGGAGCCTGTTTAGGATATTCTCCTCCCTCTCTCCCATTCGTGCATACATGTGCTCACTCTCTCGCTCTCTCTCTCTCTCTCAATAAATAAACTTTAAAAATAAATAAATAAATAAAATAAAATAAAATATTGCTTCAGTTGGAAGAAGTTCCTACTCAGATTGAAGAAACCTGTCTTCTACTAGTGACGATACCAATAACTAGCTTATGTTTAATTTAGAAAACCTTTAAAAAGACTAGATTTTTTTTTTTCATTTAGAGGCAGGGGATTAGAATAAATTATCTACAATATGTACCTTTTATCTCTAAAACATTCTCTTAGTTTTAATAATTTGAAGAACCAGTGATATACTTGCAAGTTAAATTTCCTCTAAGCCATCTGAAACTGGGGTCTGTCTTTTGTACGTCATAGAAATAAATTTCAAGTCATATAAGGATGCAAGAGATTTAAGTGTAATGAATCCAAAGTTGGGGCTAGAGCTATTCTTACTGTTGCAAATAGGTAGAAAAAAGTAAAGGACTTGGCCAAAGTATCCTAACTTCTTTAATTTCTTACCCTAAGTAGTTCATAGAAGGAGAAATATTACCATTTTTTATTAAAGAGTATAATCCTTGGACCACATGAACCAGAATCACTTAGGTTTCTGCTTAATACTATAGTTTCCCAGGTAGCACCCACTACCTACTGAATCAGAATGTTTGACCAACAGTGTCTCTACAAGCACTCCAGGTGACTTACCTACCATCGGAGTACCACTAAGCCACATAATCTAAGTAGTTACATTAAGGTAAACATGACAAATGAATTGCTCCAATCTCTAGAACAAAAGGATAAATAAATCCTCTAATGTCTTATGCAAGCCAGTCTTCTGAACATGCACAGAAAATCCTTGCACAGTCATGTGGACTAAAACAGCATGTTTTCTGACTTTAGGAGTGGGAGAATCAAGGCTGTGGGCCAGGATACAATTATAATCCAGTATATAAGTAGTGCCTTGCAAATGTTCAAAAATTTTGATCCAGCATAGTTCTGGGTAGAAAGAAAGGCAATGAACAGGATCTGAGAGATGACCAAAGAGTAGAAAGAGGCTCTGGGGGCTAAGACAAACAACAACAACAACAACAATAAAAACAGTATACAGAGAGGCAGGAGAAAAGAACAATTAAGGAAGAGAATTATGAATTAATAAGTAAATGCAAAAAAATAATAAAATAAAAAAATAAGTAAGTGCAACCAGTTTTGCTTAATTAGATAAACTGGTGTTAACCCTAAAATCCGTGATTACAGGGGCACCTGGGTGGCTCAGTCAGTTGAGCATCAGCTTCCTCTCAGGTCATGATCTTGTGGTTTGTGAGTTCAAGCCCTGTGTCAGGCTCTGGGCTGACAGCTCAGAGCCTGGAGCCTACTTCAGATTCTGTGTCTCCCTTTCTCTCTGCCCCTCCTCTGCTCGCTTGCGCGCTCTCTCTCTCTCTCTCTCTCAAAAATAAACATTAAAAAAACAAAAATCTGTGATTAGAAATCATCTGATGGGTTGAACAAAAACTACATGTATTAAAATGTAGTGACCATTGATATATCATATCCAAGGGCATAGGTAATATTAAACTAATAGTAAATAAAGATTGTCCTTCTTTCTAAAACGAAAAATAAACAGTGAGAAAATTTTCAAGGCATTAAAGTATTTGAGAAACTTATGCTAAAAATTTGAAAAAGGTAGGGGCGCAGGTGGCTCAGTCTGTTAAACAATCAGCACTTGATTTTGGCTCAGGTCATGATCTCACAGGTTCAAGATCCACCCAGCATTGGGCTCTGCATTGTCAGCATGGAGCCTGCTTGGAATCCCCTCTCTCCCTCTCTCTCTCCCCTTCCCATCCACCACTCGTGTGTACATGCTCTCTCTCTCAAAACTAATAAATAAACATTAAAAAATTTTTGAAAAAGGTACATGTAATTCAATCTTTTAATAGGATAAATATCTGTCATTGGCTACATATGCAAAATTTTTATGAAGTTCATTATAAATTATTTACATTTACATGAGAAAATTTTGATATATTAGAAATGAATTCCATGGCACACATTGAACGAAAAGAAAAACGGTTTGAAAGATACAAGATTTTAGAGGTTACTTTCAGAGAGTAAAAAGTGAATAACTAAAGCATCAATGAATTATTATTCACCACTTTTCCTGAACAAAGTTGTATGTATTAATTAAGTCGTTTTTAAATTTTTTTTTTTCAACGTTTATTTATTTTTGGGACAGAGAGAGACAGAGCATGAGCGGGGGAGGGGCAGAGAGAGAGGGAGACACAGAATCGGAAACAGGCTCCAGGCTCTGAGCCATCAGCCCAGAGCCTGACGCGGGGCTCGAACTCACGGAGTGTGAGATCATGACCTGGCTGAAGTCGGACGCTTAACCGACTGCGCCACCCAGGCGCCCCTAATT